CCCCGGGGGGGGGCCCCCTGGGGGGCCCCCGGGGGGGCCCCGCGGCTGGGCCTCGGGGCTGTGGGGTGCAGCGCGGCGGGGCTGGGGGCCCCCGTGAGGCTGGAGTATGAAGTGCGGGAAAAGGGAGAAGGGGGTTTAGAAGTGGTTTATAAACATGATTGGCCAGGAAGATATTTTCTTTTTGTTTTTTTCGAGGGTTTGCCAATTGCGGGGGCCCCCTTCGAAGTGCTGCTGACCTCGGGGGCCCCCTGCCCCCTGGCCACGCGGGTGGCGGGCTGCGGCAGCAGAATTTGCTTCGCCTCTGCTGCGCTGCAGCCAGCAGCAGCAGCAGCAGCAGCAGCAGCAGCGGGGCCAGCAGCAGCAGCAGCAGCAGCAGCAGCAGCGGGGGAGGCGGACTTGGAGGAGCTCGAGCTGCTTCCCAAGGAAAAAAAAAAGAAATTCAAACACTTCATCAACCAGTTCGACCTCATCGTCTGCGACGCCAACGGTCCGCAAACCCTAAACCCTAAACCCTAAACCCTAAACCCTCGCGGCCCATTTCCACCCTCCTCCCAAACTCCACTCCCTAAACCCTCAACCCCAAACCCCAGCCTACAGCTCTGCCTTGCCCCGTCTTCAGGACTTAGCGCCTAGGGTTTAGCGCCTAGGGTTTAGGGTTTAGGGTTTAGGGTTTAGGGTTTAGGGTTTAGGGTTTAGGGTTCAGGGTTCAGGGTTTAGGGTTTAGGGTTTAGGGTTTAGGGTTTAGGGTTTAGGGTTTAGGGTTTGGGGTTTGCGGGGCGTGCAGGGAACCGCGTGGCTGCGGGGGGCCACTGCGTGTCAGTGCGGGGGTCTGAGGGCGCGAGGGTTTTGAGGGTTTGCGACGAAGGCGAGGGTTTGTATAAAGTGTTTTACGTGGTTAGGGTTTCGCAGCAGCTGCTGCTGGCAGCAGCAGCAGAACACTTGCGGCTGGCGGACACAGTGGCGCAGCAGCTCACTTTCCAGCAGCAGCAAGCCTCCACCGCCCTCGTCCGCCAGTGCCAGGTCCCAAACCCTAAACCCTAAACCCTAAACCCTAAACCCTAAGGCGTAGACGCTAAACCCTAGGTGCAGCGCCGCGGGCAGGTGCTTCCGGCGCCAAGCGCACAAACCCTGTCTTTTTACCGGCGTGCTGCAGATTCAGATCCGGGGGCTAGGGTTTAGGGTTTAGGGTTTAGGGTTTAGGGTTTAGGGTTTAGGGTTTAGGGTTTAGGGTGCAGGGCTTAGGGTTTGTGGCGTACAGGGTTTGGGGCTTACGATTCCCGATTAAGCGCCGAGGGTGTAGGGTCTCGGGCCTAGGGTTTGAAGAACTCCAGGGGCTGGGGTTTAGGGTTTAGGGTTTAGGGTTTAGGGTTTAGGGTTTAGGGTTTGGGGTTTACAGGCACTGCAGAAACAGGGCTTGCTGCCCTTCACCAGCTGCCGGCTGGACATTTTTCTTTTTGAAAAACCAATTTTGTCTTCGCCATTAAAACCCTTAATAGCGAATTTGGAACAGCTGCAGCAAATGTACAAAGAAGCAGCAGCAGCCACGCAGATAGGTCCCCAAACCCTAAACCCTAAACCCTAAACCCTAAACCCTAAACCCTCGCCCGCACAAGCACGCGCCCGCTCCCGCGCAAACCCTAAACCCTAAACCCTAGGCTCTTGAAGGAGAGGAGGCACGCGGCCCTTGCTGCGGAAAGGGTTTGTGAGGTTTCGGGGTCTAGCTTCTAGGGTTTAGGGTTTAGGGTTTAGGGTTTAGGGTTTTGTCTCAGGGGCCTCAATCAATCTTTTTGAGAAGTGTTTGCGGGAGGGACTTCATGACAAGGCAGCCCGCATCTTGGAGGCGGTTCAAAACACCTTCACATCTGAAGAGGTAAAACCTAAACCCTAAACCCTAAACCCTAAATCAGCGTATTACGCAAGCCTAGTAAACTACGCATTCCTGGCTGGCCCTTCGCAGTGCTCGTTTTGCTGCTGATGTTCTCACAGTTTTAGAGCGGTTTAGGGATTAGGGTTTAGGGTTTAGGGTTTAGGGTTTAGGGTTTAGGGTTTAGGGTTTAGGGTTTGCGCAGACGCGGCGGGAAGTTGAGGAGGGTCTGGCTCGGATAAAGTTGGGAGAAGCCCTCGGCGAGGGTTTGGCAGCGCAGCTGCAGCAGGAGGCGGAGGAGGAGCAGCAGCTGCAGCAGCAGCAGCAGCAGCAGCAGCAGCAGCAGCAGCAGCAGCAGCTGCCGCTTTCTCTTAAAGAAAGAGAAGAGCTGGAACACAAAAGAATGAAGCACATGCAGAAGCAGTGGGAAGAAGTGCAGCACGTGAGGTGTGTCGCATCGCCCAAACCCTAAACCCTAGCCTCCAAACCCTAAACCCTAAATCAGCGTATAACGCCGGCCTTATGAACTTTTCCACTTCTAAGCTTCAGACTCCCTTCAAGAGCGACACCAGCTCCTACGGTTGAGGGTTTAGGGTTTAGGGTTGACAATTTAGGCTCTGGGGGCGAGGGTTTAGGGATTAGGGTTTAGGGTTTAGGGTTTAGGGTTTAGGGTTTTGCAGGGAACTGCTGCTGAAGCTGTCAGGGGACGGAGAGCGGCAGCAGCAAATTATGAAGTTGTTTACGCAGCTGATGCTGCAGTCGCTGCTGCGGACGCAAACCCGCAGTTTGCGTCTCCTGGCCGAAAGAAACGACCTCTCGTAAACCCTAAACCCTAAACCCTAAACCCTAAACCCTAAACCCTAAGGGTTCGCTCTGGAGCCCTGGGGGTCTGCGGGACGCGCCTTAGGCTCTGGCGAACTCTGCAGCGACGAGGAGAGCTTCGGGGCTAAACCCTAAACCCTAAAACTCGACCCCTAAACCCTAAACCCTAAACCCTAAACCCCAAACCCTAAACCCTAAACCCTAAGCGCTGGGTTGGAGCGGAGCGGTCCCTACGCTGCCTGCCGCTCAAAACCCTTGCGGGTCTGTGTGCGGGGAGGAGCGGGTCTGGCTCGCTGCAAACCCCCATTCAGGGTTTAGGGTTTAGGGTTTAGGGTTTAGGGTTTAGGGTTTAGGGTTTAGGGTTTGGGCTGCAGGCGGCTGCGGGAGGAGAACTTGCTGCCGCTGGCGGGCATGCTGCAGCAGCAGTACATTCAGCAGTTTTACAAAATGACAAAACAAATAATTAATTTCGTTTCTTCTTTGAAAGAAAGACAATTCTTCAACCTCGAAGAACTCCTCGTCACCTACGGCAAAATCGCGTGAGCTCCGCTGCTGCTGCTGCTGCTGCTGCTGCTGCTGCTGCTGCTGTGGATGATGGTGCTGCTGCTGCTGCTGGTGCTGCTGCTGTGGATGATGGTGCTGCTGCTGCTGCTGCTGCTGCTGCTGCTGTGGATGATGGTGCTGCTGCTGCTGCTGCTGCTGCAGTGGATGACGGCTGCTGCAGTGGATGATGGTGCTGTTGCTGCTGCTGCTGCTGCAGTGGATGATGGTGCTGCGGCTGCTGCAGTGGATGATGGTGTTGCTGCTGTTGCTGCTGCTACAGTGGATGATGGTGCTGCTGCTGCTGTTGCTGCTGCTGCTGCTGCTGCGTTTATATGTCTTTGACTAAAGTGTTTATTTATTTTTTTTACTTATTGCATCTTTTTTATTTTAATATTATCCTCTTCACGCAATTCTATTATTATTATTTTGTAATATGATTACTGCATTATCTTTACTATTTTATCATTATTTGTTTTTATTATTATTCTCTAATTATTATTTTATTATTTTTTATTTTAGTCTTTTTGTTGAAAGTATTTTGTTTGTTTTTCTCCTCCTGCTTTTGCTGCTGCTGCTTTTGCTGCTGCTGCTTTTGCTGCTGCTGCTGCTGCTTTTGCTGCTGCTGCTGCTTTTGCTGCTGCTGCTGCTTTTGCTGCTGCTGCTGCTTCTGGCTGCTTTTGCTGCTGCTGCTGCTGCTGCTTTTGCTGCTGCTGCTGCTGCTGCTGCTTTTGCTGCTGCTGCTGCTTTTGCTGCTGCTTTTGCTGCTGCTGCGCTGCGCTATAGACCCTGCATCTTTCACTTCGTTTTTTCGTTTTTTTGTCGATTTTGTTTTGAATTTTGAATTTTGAATTCAAATTTGAGTTTTATTTTAATTATTTCTTTTTTATTTCGCATTTAAATTCCCTTTTGGGTCCAAACGGATTTAAATTTGGCAAAACCGTTTTTGCGTTTTCGTGCTGCATGCACTTGGGGTGTACGTACACCGCAGCTCCGCAGCCGCTGCAGCGGGGTTGCGCGTTTGCGTTTTTTTCGTTTTTGTTCGTTTTTGGGTCTTTTTTCTTCGTTTGAATTAATTTATAATTTAAGCATTAAATTTGAAAAGGAAATAAAAAATGGGATTAAAAAGAGGCCTTTGGGGGCTCGGGGGCTTTGTTTGGCTGCGTTTGGCGGCAGCGACGAGCTGCGGCTGCTGCAGCGGTTCTCGCTGGCGGACACCTTCGAAGAACTGGCGAGCTGTATATACACCGAAATCCAACTCCAGGGAATGGAAAAAGGAATTAAATGGAAAGATTTGCTGCTGCAGCAAACTGAGCAGCAGCTGCAGCAAAAGGAAGCAGCTTTAGAACTTGTTCGCAGCAAAATCCAAAACAAACACAAAAACATTCCCAAACTCGCGCCCCACGAAGTCGCCGAACTCTGCGTCACTCGACAGCAAAAAGGCAAACCCTTTTCTCTTTTGCTGCTGCTGCTGCTGCTGCTGCTGCTGCTGGCGCCTTTTGCTGCTGCTGCTGCTGCTGCGGGCTCCTTTTGCTGCTGCTGCTGCTGCTGCTGGCTCCTTTTGCTGCTGCTGCTGCTGCTGTCTGCATTCTTTTGCCGCCGTTTTCAGCGGAACAAAAAGCAAAACAAGCAAAACCAAAAAACAAAAACAAACAAACAAATAAATAAATAAATAAATAAATAAATAAATAAATAAATAAATAAATGTTTTTTGTTCAATTCAGGTGTACAGACAGAAGACGCGCTGTCTCTACGGGAGGGGGCCCTGGGCCCTTTGATTGTCTCGAGAGCCACAAATCAAAAAGCGCCTCCTCTTCACCCTGTTTGCGCCCTCGCCAAAGTCCAAACCCTAAACCCTAAACCCTAAACCCTAAACCCTAAGCCCTGGGGGTTCGGCGATGCGCGCCGCAAGCGCGAAAAAACGGCATTCTAACGAGCTCCCAAACCCTCCTGCTGCTGCTGCTGCAGCAGCGGCAAAAGCAGCAGCAGCAGCAGCAGCAGCACTAGCAGCAGCAGCAGCAACAGCAGCAGCAGCAGCAGCAGCAGCAATTGTGTTCTTTCTTCTCAGATGAATTGGCGCACCTGCAACCCCTACGATATGCACACAAGCATTAGAAAGCTCCTCAAGAATACGCCAAGGTCTCTAAACCCTAAACCCTAAACCCTAAACCCTAAACCCTAGACCCTCCGTTTGTGTGCTGCTATTGGTTTTGCTCGTTTTCCGGCTTTCTTCTCCATTCTTCTTCAAATAAATAAATAAATAAAACAAATAAATTAAATTAATGAATTAAACAAACAAATAAAATAGGTAAGATGAATAAATAAAATAAATAAAATAAATAAATAAAATAAATAAATAAAATAAATAAATGAATGAATAAAAAAATAAACGTTTTAATCAAAAAGGCAGTTTTGTTTTGTCTCTGATCCTTTCGTTTTGTCTCTTTGCTTATAACCAAATTATGATAACTCTAACAGCAGCAGCAGCAGCAGCAGCAGCAGCAGCAGCAGCAGCAGCAGCAGCAGCAGCAGCAAGACATTCACATAAATATATGAGCGTGTGTGTATCTTGCTGCTGCTGCTGCTGTCGCTGCTGCTTCTGCTGCTGCTCTTTCTGCCCCGCTGCCACCGCCGCCGCCGCCGCTGCCGCCGCTCTCGCTGCTGCTGCTGCTGCTGCTGCTGCTGCTGCTGCTGCTGCTGCTGCTGCTGCAGGCTGAAGCGGGCTTTGACGGAAGTGTTTGCGTATTACTCGAAAGCCCCTTTAGCAGCAGTTAAAGCTCGACTTCAATCTTTAGAAGACTTGCCAATGGGACTAACTGTTGTTGCATTTAAAAGGTTTTGCTTCGACTTGAAGCTGCAGCAGCAGCTGCTCA